TTTTAACAGTATAGTTTGGTAAGGTTTTGTTTTTTTGAGAGGGGGTCTCGCTGTGTTGCCCAGGCTGGTCTCTAACTCATGAGTTCAAACAATCCTCCCACCTCAGCCTCCCAAAGTGCTGGGATTATATGCACATGCCATCACACCCAGCTCTAATAAGTTTTGATATATATATATATACACACATATATATATGTATGTATGTATCTCCAAATAACCAACACCAAAATTAAGCTATAGACATTAGTACTACCCAAAAGTTCCTTTGTGCCCCTGATACTCAAGTCCTCCATCCCAAGCAACTCAGTGGTCTCATTTCCATAATTATAAGATTAGTTTTGTCTAGTCTAGAACAGTACTACTTCTTTCAGTCTGGCTTAGTTCTCTCAATACACTGTTTCAAGATTGACTAATGTTGCACATGCATCAGTAGTTTCTTCCCTTTTTTTTTGAGACAGAGTTTTGCCCTTATTGCCCAGGCTGGAGTGCAACGGCGAGATCTCAGCTCACCACAACCTCCGCCTCCCAGGTTCAAGCAATTCTCCTGCCTTACTTCCCTAGTAGTTGGGAATACAGGTGCACACCACCATACCCAGCTAATTTTTGTATTTTTAGTAGAGACGGGGTTTCACCATGTTGACCAGGATGATCTTGTTCTCTTGACCTCGTGATCCACCCGCCTTGGCCTCCCAAAGTGCTGGGATTACAGGCATGAGCCACCACACCCAGCCAGCAATTTGTTCCTTTTAATGGACAAGAAATAGTATAGTATGCATCTATTTATTCATTTACCTGTGGATGACTATTTGACTTGTTTCCAGGTTTGGAACTTTGAATATTCACGTACAAGTTGTTTTTGTAGACATAAATTTTCCTAGGTCTTAGGAAAATAGGAATAGAATTGCTGGGTCACATGGTAAGTACGCCTTTAACATTATTACAACCTGCTAAACTTTCCCAAAGCATTATAATGCTTTACATTCCCACCACCAGTGAACAAGAGTTTCAGCTGATCTATCGCCTTGGCAGCACTTGACAAGGTCACTCCTTTCCATTTTAGTCTTTCTAGTGGGTATTTAGCAATATCTCATTATTGTTTTACTTTTCCTTTCTCTGATGACCAGTGATGTTGAATATCTTTTAATGTATATCTTCTTAAAGTGTCTATTCAAATCTTTTACCTGTTTTACTGGGTTATCTTACTACTGAATTATAAGTATTCTTTATAAATTTAGGATACAACTTCTTGGTTGGGGAGAGAAAGAGAGAAGAAGGGAGAAAGAGACAAGGAGGAAGACAGAGAAAGAAGGAAAGAGGGAGAGAGAGAGGGAAATTTCAAATATTTTCTCCATGTCTGTAGTTTGACTTTCGATTTTCTTAATGAAGTCAAGGAGCTAAAGAGTTTAACTTTGATGAAAATCAATTTACCAATTTTTCTTGGATGCTTAGTGCTTTCTGTGTTCTACTTAAGAAACTTTATATAACCCACATCCAAAGAGTTTCTCCTATGTTTTCTTTCAAAGGTTTTATAGATAGTTTTAGCCTTTAAGTTTAAGCTTACTAAATCTTATTAAATGTATTGAAAAATTGTTTTTACTTTTATCATTTATTTTTCCATGTACATATTCAGCACAATTTGTTGAAAAGACTATCCTTTCACTATTGAATTATGTTGGCACATTTATTGAAAATCAATTGGCCACATATGTGTAGGACTATATTTTTTTTATTTTTGTTTCTGAATACAGGTTGAATATCCCTTATTTGAAATGCTCAGGACCAGAAGTGCTTCAGGTTTTGGATTTTTTTTGGATTTTGAAATGTTTTTATTATACTTACTGGCTGACATCCCAAATCTAAAAATCCAAAATCCAAAATACTCCAATGAGCATTTCCTTTAAATGTTTTGGATTTTGGAGCACTGCAGATATTTGGATTTTGGATGATCAACCTGAATTATGATATGCTGACATTTTAAAAGCCTTTCTGACTAAGGAGAAGACTGCTCCTCCCAGGGCCAGCCAATTCTAAGAAATAGCAAAGAGCTCAATCCTGAGCATGCCTTTGATGGGCAAACTAAATGATCCAGAGCCATACTTGTTCTGTCTGGCCCTGACGCCATAGGAGGCAATATTCTTCTGCCTTAATCATCCCAGGGCCAGGTACCAGGCAAATAGAGACCACCCTTATGCCCCAAGATCCCCCGATATTATTCAAACTAGCCAATCCTAAACTGAGAAACACCTGTGAATGCCACAGTCAAGGGACAATGGCTCACCAAGAGCCTGAGACCTAATCAGAGAACTATAGAATAGTCCCTCTTCTCTTACATCTTATCACCACACTATAAAGGCCTATTTACAGCAGTTTCTTTTACATCATGTCTAGCTGTAAAGAAAAAATTATAAGACATACCATATTAGTACATTCTCATGCTGCTATGAAAAGAATACTCAAGAATGGGTAATTTAAGGCCAGGTGCGGTGGCTCAAGCCTGTAATCCCAGCACTTTGGGAGGCTGAGGCGGGTGGATCACGAGGTCAAGAGATCGAGACCATCCTGGTCAACATGGTGAAACCCCGTCTCTACTAAAA